GGGGGGTGGGGGGGGGGGGGGGGGGGGGGATGAGAAATTTTGCATTTGCAAAGTGAGAATTAGCAAAGCTCTACTGTACTACATCATGTTAAAGTTAAATATTTTAGGGTATTATCTTTTAGTAGCCACTGTCTACGTTTCTTTGAATAAATTTACAACTGCTAATATGGATTTTTTTAGCAGGATGACTATTTGGCAAAGTTAGAAGCTATGCATCACCCACCAACCTGCCCATCGTTTTGCTCCTCCAGTCAGTGTAATAACATTTTTTCCTGAAAGAATAGCAGAAGAGATCTGAGAACAATCAAGTAAGAGACAGTTGAGAAGGACATACACATTATACAAGAACACCGAACATTTAATATCATGCATTTTACAGGCACAAAAAAAAGAGGGAAAATATTTTATAGGAAATTTGCATACAGCAAATTCATTAATATTTTCATTTGATATATTCTAGTATTTTAAATGATTCATGAGACAAATTCAATTTTGATATAACATATTTATGCAAATTGAACTACAACGTTTCAAGTACAGAATTTCTATTAAAGATGATGCAAGTGTGTTTAAATATTAACAGCCTCACAAGGCCCTCATTCTGCAGAACTCCTTTAAAAGATTACAAATTGTTTCAATTATGCCTTAATACCATGCACAGAGAGTTTTCAACCTGTGTAAGGGTCTCCTATGAATATCCATTGGCAAATAGTCAGCAAAGGCTCTAAGAATTAGCAAGTAGTAACTCAAACAAACAGTTTCTATATTTGTATTATTTTTCTCTCTGCTTTTTCTTAGGCACAGCAAATTCTGAGGGAGGGAGGCCTGCAATTTTCCATGAAATATTCAGAGAACTGTTACTCTTGAAATACTATACACATAGATTTGCTGCAGGATATTTTCCCTCTCCTGGCTAAATATTCCCCCTCTGCCTCTCTATAACAAACTTCCAGGTTCACAGGTGTTTTAAGCTCATGAGTCTGAAAACTAATTTATATGACTGGACTTTCCTTCTAGCTTAGAGCTGGACTGAAGTGAATGAGTTTAGCACAGCATAGATCAGTTTGCAGGATTACAGTTTTACTTGGTTTGTAACAGATCCCCCAAGGAGCACAATTTACCTAGAGCTTTTACGCTATGAAAGAGAAATACTTTGTTTAGTATACTGTCATTTTAGAACTTAGAACAAATGGTTTTCAAATAATATTCAAGAAGTAATTTTTCTCCGTTCCACCTACATAAAAAAATATTTCAGTTCTGGATAATAAAAAGTGAGACCATTTTCAGATGATAACTACATGACCTAAAACAGACCAAGAATATTGGGGATGGGAGAGGGAAAAGAATATATATGATTAATAGGGTCCACAGCTATTCATCTGGTAAATATTAAGGGTGCAAGAGAGAGTATGTGATGTCTGGAAAGGAAATGTAGCCTAGAAAATGCTTAATCTTACATTTTTGTCCCAATCATAAAGAACTATGTTTCTGCTGGAAATGCTTAGGTACTTTGCAGCCTGATTTGTGATCCTCCTAAGCAAAGCTGCAGAGGAAACTATGAAATCCATAAAAATTAAGAATACTTTTTGGCAGCTGTCATACCTTTTATTTCTTAATCATGGGTTCTCCATTACTTTTAATTCCCCTTAACTGCTATCCTCAGATTGAGTCCAGCTGAGTTACAGATACGTTCATTTTTTCCATGGAACAGTATTTTATATTTTCCATAAGATACTTTATGCATATGTAAAGAGGAACCTTGTTGCTTCAGTGTCAAGATTATATTGCAAAGCTTCTGCTTCTTTTCTCTGCCTTTCCATCAGGCCACACATTTCTCTCTAACAGAACTCTCAAAATATACCATTAAAACAAAAATCCCCATGAATATATCAAATCATGATCAAACCCTTATATAAATCACAACAACTTATATTGAACAGTATGGTGAAAGTGGCAATAATTGCACACAGGTTTTTTGGTTGTTTTCTTTTTACCTTCAGATAATTTGCATTTTATATTAGATATAATATTATGCCAATTCAATATCATATCTATCTATATTCTATATATCTCCCTTGTGGATTGTAGTTTCACACTGATTTTAGTGACAGTAGGCTCTGTATGTTGTACAAGTAGGTCCCTACTGATGAGTTTGACACCCTGGCTGTACTAGATTTCCCCCCCACAGGTGGAAATCTGGTATCAATGAACTCTGCCCATTTTCCAGTAACATCCATCTATCTCACTCTAATCATATAGCAGTAGGCCAGTAGTCCACAGAAGTTTGTTCCCTGCTATGTTATAATCCACCTACTGTCACTGAAGTCAGTGTGAAACTACAACCCACAAAGGATCACACCCAAATATATAATATGTATATATGAAATGTCAATATCATATATAATAGATTCATAGATGTTAAGGGCTGGAAGGGACCTCATGAGAACATCGGGTCCAGCCTCCCTGCACTTGGGCAGAACAAACTGTTGGGGTCAGGTGACCCCAGCAAGGTGTGAATCAAGATGTTTTTTAAAGATCTCCAAGGTAGGTGATTGTACCACCTCTGGGAGGAGTCTGTTCCAGACCCTAGGCACTCGAACTGTAAAGAAGTTGCTCCTTCTGTCCAATCTGAAGTGATCTTCAAGCAGTTTGTGGCCATTGTTTCTTGTCTTCACCTGGGAGACCTTGGTGAACAGATGCTTCCCCAGGCCCTGATGTACACCCCTTATATACTTACAAGCTGCCACCAAGTCCCCTCTAAGTCTTCTTTTCTCCACACTGAACAGTCAGTCCCATGTCTTTCAGACTAGCTTCATAAAACCTGCTCTCCAGACCTCTAATAATGCACGTACCCCTCCTTTGGATTCTCTCAAGCTTCTTCACATCCTTCCTGAAGTGTGATGCCCAGAACTGGACACAGTACTCCAGCTGTGGTCTCACCAAGGCTGAGTGGAGTGGGAGGATGATATCCTTAGTCTTGCTTGAGACGCCTGAGTAGATGCATGCCAGGGTCTCATTTGCTCTGCCAGCTACAGCATCACATTGGTGACCCTTGTTAATTCTGTGGTCACAACCCCCAGTTCTCTTTCACTTGTGGCACTAGCAAGCGTAGTACCACTGAGCCTGTAAATGTGTTGTGGATTATTTCTCCCCAGATGGAGCACTTTACATTTCTTTGTGTTAAACATCATCAGGTTTTAAGCATCATTCAAACATATGTTTGAAGTGGCAATAATTGTACACGTTTGTTTGGGTTTTTTCTTCAGATTGGGTTTGCAATTATCTTCAGATAATTTACATTTTTATATTATTTATGATATTGAAATTCCATATATACATATTATGTATTCAGGTGTGATCCTTTGTGGGTGGCAGGTTCATATAGACTTCAGTGATGGTAGAAGCATTAAAATGTAGTATGGAAAGAAATTTCTGTGGTGCTACTACCCTACTGCTATATGAATAGAGTGGAGTAGAGGGATGTTACTGGAAAATGGGCAGAGTTTATTGGCATACTACCTGTGGGGGGGCATCTGGTACAGCAGGGGTGTCAAACTCATCAGCAGAGACCTACTTAAACTGCAGTTTTGTGATTTTTGCAGAAACTTCAAAAATGGTAGTCTCCGTGAAAAATGGCATTGCCTGCAATTTCCACCAAGATAGCAGCTGTCTCCTTGTACTTCTCCATCAATCAGAGCCAAGGGGTGGGGCTACATGAAGGGCAGCCAACAGTCAAGATGGTGGCCACCCTCTTGTCCCTCCTCCCCCAGGGCCTCTCTGCCAATCAGCACTAAGGGGCAGAGCCACTACAAAATGAGAAACCAGCTCCTTGGGCTATGACCAAGCTGCAAAAATTGCTTTCTTTAGCTGTAAGTTAGGTAGGTCCCTACTCATCATGCTCTGTGGGCAGGATCAGCGATACGGGGCTGGTTTGCCCATAGATTGACCTCACAAGACCAATGCAGAATGCCAGATCCAGCTTGTGAGGCTTGTTTGATGGAAGCGCTGCATGAAGTGCATGGGGCCGGTATGACATGGGTGTCATATGTGGGTCCTGTCCAACACCCATGGGCAGCATCATCAGCCTGTTTTATAGGTCTCTGCAGGTTGTGTCCTTGACAAAGCTGTCGTGCAGGTAAAGATCAATAGCAATTTACTTGCAACTCAAGGCAAACTTTAAGAGGGATCTAAAATTCAGGTGTATAACAACATCTTATCTCATTTTTTTTGCCGCTGAAAACCATTGTTTTTTTTAGCCTTTGCAGCAAAAAAAGTGATAACGTCTCTCCACAGCAGCAATGCCCCTCCAGCTGCTGCTCCTGCACCAGTGACCAGTTGGATAACTAGGGTGGGGTGACTGGGGCAACCACCCTAAGTGCCAACTTGTGGGGAGGGAAACTTAGGTGTTACCACAGCCATGGTTTGTGCTGGCAGTGTGTTGGCAGCTAGGAATCACTGCTGCCCCATGGATCCTGCTGTGCCAGTGCCTGGCTGCTTTGTTATGCCTCTCTTACTGCTACTGCTTTTCCTCTTCCCACTGCCAGAGCCTTCAGAGCCAAAGCCAGAGTCAAAGGTGAGTTTGCTCCAGTGGAAATGACATTTCCCAGAATGCCCCTCACTAGTGCACACTCCTGCACCAATCACTGCTGCTATGCTTTGCTGCTGCTGGAGCTGGGGCCAAAGGGAGGAGGGTGGAAGGGTGAGGTACAATGTCCTGGGCTGGTGCCCTGCTCAGGTGTCCATCCTTGTGCTACTGAGTTCTGCTGTTGAGGAAAGTGGGTACAGTCTAGGATGCAGTTCTATTCAGTTATGCCTCTAGCAGGACTATGTTATACTGCCTAGAAAATGCCAGTTGAAGTAAAACATTTTGGGATTAATAATAAATGTTCTACAACTTTTAAGAAACAGTTTACACACATACTGGGTGCATCTACATATGCTATTTGAGTGATGCAATAAACTCTGGTGCATTTTGCATTAGAGTTAATGGCTCTCAGGCACAGTGTCCATGTGCTCAGGACCACAGCAGTTTGAGCTGGGGCTGAACAGCCCCAGGCTGGCAGCAGGCTCAGGGAGTCCGCTCCAGGCTCTGGGTTGTGTTGTCAGATGGTAGAGGGGCTGCTGGGGCATGAGAGTGCCCAAAGAGCAGAGCTGCATTGCTAGGGGGCAGACAGGGGTCCTTTTGCTGCCTGGGTGCAACCTGCACTCAGTTCAGCATTTTCATGTGCGTTTAGGAGCAGTTATTGTCACCTCCATAAAGACAGTATGGTCCTCAATACTATCTTAAGGCTGTGAAAATTAGTTTGCTGCAGTTTAATAGTGTTGCACTTGTACATTGTGACGCTTTACACCACAGCAAGTTAGTCTACTACGCAGTTAAGCATGTGTGTAGATCCACCTATTTGCACCCTCCATAGTTTGTTTTAATTAATCTAGAAAGTATTTTAAGATGGCCATAAGATGCTATGATGCTCAGAATAGTCCATCTCTATCAGAATCTTCTGAGATAAAGAACTGGTAAGAGATCAAAAAACAGATACAACATAAGTCTTACTAACAAAAAGATGGGAAAAAAAAGAACAGTGCTAGGAAATTGGAAACAATTTGTGTAAGTTGGGATACTATAAATAAATGTTTTCAGAATTCGGGCCTTCATACACATGGGTAACTATGTTTTGGTAGCAGCTCAGCGAGTGTTTTTTGTAACTACTTGTATGCATAAAGTGTATTATTATGCCTAAATTGCTGGATCCTGCAAGGCCCATCTACTTTAACTTCAGAAGCACTGACTTATTTTTATTTTTTTATATGAGTCAATGCAAGTTCAGCCAGCCCACAAGATGTAGGATTAATCAGAGTGGTTTATTTTTTGTGCTGCATTGCACGTTATATAAAAATTCTCATACTAGCTAATCAGAGTACTGCGCACACTTCAAAGGCAGAGTAGGATTGCTATGTTCCCTTCTATAAAATCACACATCAACAGTTCCCATGCTCTTATTTTATTTTTTTCCATTGAATTAAATAAGCAGTTTTTAGAAGGCCAAGTTGTTTACAGGACTGCTAATGGCAGCTATCATAGCTCCTTTTCACTAACTCATTCTTCTGTGTTTAGGATGATGGCTCTCCTTTGCCTGGGCTGACAAGATTAGAGCAATCCAACACCTATTCTGTTTTGCCCCTCAAATTAAAAACTACAAATTAAACTTTTTTATTGTTCAAACATTTCAAAGTGCTGAATCGATATTACCATTGTTTTTCCTTAGAGCAGTTGTACTTTTCATCCTCAGATTATTCCAAAGAAAATAGCCTATTCAATTTTGACATTCCCTATTAGCTAGGAAAACAGTATTATTTCCATGTTCACAGGAAATTGGGTTCAGTCAGTAGTAACGCTGAGCAAAACTGGAATTTTAAAGTGATCTTCAATAAGGTCAGAAATCTGGTCCAACAAAGCTCAGATTAAAGGACAAAAACTGCATTAGCCACATATACAGTCTCATACATAACCTCACCTTTATACATTATTGTACTTTTTACTTTTACAGTTCAGCACAATTTAAATGATTAACAAAACTGCCAATGTGATTTTGCCAGGGAAAAAGCAGGAGTTAGAAACAAACTTAGGAACAGAACTTCTGATTCTCATCACTATATTTGAACCATCAAGCCACATCACTGCCCCACGATAAGACTGGCAGCTGAGAAACTTTGAATACTATATAATTCTGTTTTCCATCAAGAGGCTTTCTGCATCCTGAAGGAAGGAAATACCAAGCCTTAGGCATGGCTCCAAATAAGATTGTTGCTGAAACTCACAGAAATACTGGAGTTTCTAACCCTAAGACAAAACATCCGGGATATCTCCCCGAGTTGGAAATAAAACAGAATCACTAGTTCTGTCAGAAGTTGCTGTAGATCCATCATGATCGCTTTCCCGAAATTCACACCTTCCAAGGCCCGGCAAACCTCTCAGAAAGCCAGATATGCAATCTATCCTTGGCATTTACAGATGCTGACTGAGATATTTAGAGAATGTCTTCAGCAACCATAAGCAAAAAATAACTACACAGATGACTAAATAAGTTTTAGCTAAAATTTCAGGGACAATGTCTCCCTCCCATGATTAAACCTGCAGTAAGGGACACTTTTTGAAGAAAAGAAAAACTGAGTTTTCAATTTTCAGGAGAGGATCAGTTTCTTCCTGATTATTAAACTAGGGAAACCTTTTCTGGAGTCTAGAAAAAGGAGTTAGGTGCTTCCACTCAGAAGGGAGTTCTGTTCCTAGAGAATGCATTGACCAAGTGATCCAATTCCACTAAAGTGATTCCTAGTGAAAAAAATCAGCCTGAGTTCTGCTTGGAGGGAGAGGCTGCAAGTAGACTAGGACTTGTAACATTACCATTTAGGAATATGCAGTGTTATGAAAAGCCTATAAGTATTTTTAAAAGGAAAAATGTATGTGGAATTATTAAATAAGGATGGATTAACCAGGCTGCTGGTAAAAAGCAGTATTGTCAATTGGTTAAAAAAAAAAAAAGACGACCAAGAAGCCTGGAAATTAAATGCGGGGGGGGGGAGAGAGATCAATAATGAGAATGTTAACAAGTGAAAGAAGCAATAGTAATATCAAAAACCATCCTTAAAACAAAATGGAAGATGACTGTTATTCAAGGTAACTTACACAGAACTGTATGGCAAGCAATTAAGCCTAAAGTTTCCATTACATTATAGTGCAGCATAATTTTCAGGATACCTGCAGGTTTTTCATTGAGGGATGCAGCAGTAGTTTAAGCATACCACCCAATATGAGAGGGCCTTATGAGAAAGCTGCTCTTTCCCTAAGCCATACGGCTCCACTTGAAGTCGGAGGCACTGAGGCTGGTGCTAAGGATCTGTTGCTATAAGGACATACTTTGTGCAGGCTCAATAATTTTGATTTGTCCATCTCTTGACTTTAATTGTCACTTTGTCACAATAACCAAATCCATAACTTTACAGGAATTCTGAATAGCGTACCTTTCCCCCCTACATTAGTGATTCTCAACCAGAATGCCAGAGCACTCTGGGGTGCGTCCAGTTCCTTTGAAGGGTGCCCAAAGGCATGAGGCAGTCAGCAGATAAGCTAAGCATGTAAACTCAACTCAGGCTTGCCCCTGCCTGGAGGATTGCCTACCCCTATGCAGACAGGTCCTGTCTAAAGAGACAAGCATTGTAACATATAAAAGGTTAGGTTGTGAAATTCGGTGCCTGTCAATTCACATAAATTATGGAGGCCTGCTCATGTCCAGGGAGGGGTGCCTCAGGTCCAAAAAGGTTGAGAATCACTGCCCTAGGGGGTGAACTATGGTGGAGAGCGAACCATATTTTAGTTTCCTGGCTTCCTGTAGACAGGTTTATTTTATTTACTACAAAATGCATGTGAGGAAATTTTTAAGCAGAGACACTTTCACACATGCTCTAGGGGTAGGGGATTGGCGCTTTAATAAGAGTGGTTCAGAGAGTCACTCTAAGGGAAGTGCTGCCATGTCTCCTGTATCAGTGTCCCCACACTTAAAAATGGTGGTGGGGGGTACTTGAACTAAAGCTTGTTGAATGAGCTTTTAGTTCAAGCACCCTCCACCACCATTTTTAAGTGTGGAGGTGCTGATACGCAAGACTCAGGAGGCTGGTGGAGTGTGGCATTTGCTGTGGTCCAACAGACTTGATTAACTGAGTCCGCTCCAAAGAGTTGGACTTCCAGAGCATTCTCAGAGCTTGTGTATAGGTGCCCTATGCATTTGGAGGAATGGGCATACAGCTATTGCTTGCATTTATGTAGATCTAAATATATTAAGACACAAGAACATATGGTAAATTTGGAAAAAAGTGAAGGTGAAGAGAACCAAGAAACACAAAGGCTCTGCATTTCCCCAGGTGGTATCAGGGTTTTATTTCTGAAAGATCAGTAGTTGTTTCTGGACCTTCCTCTGTCTTTGGGTAGGATCCCACTGCACACCGAGAAGGTGATGTACTATTTGGAGGGAGACTGCTCCTAAAGCCACAGACTACTGAGATCTTTGAGACACTGAGGAGGGATTCTAAAAAACATGGCCATGTCACACACGTTGGTCATAATTTGCCGTGAATAGTAGAATTTCCAGGGACATGTGCAACTTAACTAAGACAGTAATCTGATGAAGCAGATACTACAGATGAACATCAAGAGGATAGCTGTGTGTGCATCATTCAAACTTACCCTTCAAAAACTGGCCTTACCAAATAGGAGTCACCAATAAAAAAAAAAAAAAGAAGCTGTGATTAAGCAGATGGCTTGCTTTGTTCAGTGTAAAGAAAAGAGGATTAGGTTGTATGCTAAGAGATTAGCTAAAAATAAGTAAATAAATAAAAGCATACAAATCAAAGTCCACAAAGTTAAATAGCTTCCACATTACCTGAAAGGCATCCTGATGTTCATTCTTTCCGCATATTTACACAATGTCTCCCACGGACAGTGAATTTTAACAAACATTATATCGTTGTTTGTAACAGCTGGCTGTAATGAGTAGTAAAATAAAATATATTTTAACAATTTCATACCAAATGGCAGTCTAGTTTAAGAGCTGCATTCTGCTCTCAGGTGTGCATGCTTGGCTTCCACTGAAGTTAATGGCATTGTTCTAGGGTCTTGAGTAAGGAACAGTGCATTATACTACACACACTGCAGTTGCAGTGTGATAATGAATGCTGTAAGCTTGTCAAGGGAACAAAGAGGTCATCAAGCCTATTCCACTGACAGTATAGGATTATAATTTTTCTACTGCAGAGGCAGCCAACCTCTGGCACATGTAGCACAGGCAGCCTGTGTGTAGCACTCAGATTGGTGGGGAGGGGGGAAAATGACAGCACAATGGCAGATAGGGCAGGGAGCAAAAAGCAGAAGAGGACCCTTGGCGTGGAGCAGAAAGAAGAGCAGCACACTGAGCAGGGGAAGGGGATCACAGTGGCACTTGGGTAACGTATGGTGCAAATTTGTGGTACACCTACCAAAAAGGTTGACCCTTTGGTAGGTGTACCACAAATTTGAATTTTAGTGCTTTCTATGGTCTAGTTTCAAATGCCTCTAAAGATGAGCATTCCACCATGTTGGTTGAGTGTGCTGTACTTGGAGCATACATACAAACATGCATACTAATTTCCCTGATGTATAACCAACTTTTAAACAAACTGTAGTTACTATATACCATTCTTGGGGTGAAAATTTTATTCTACTGAAGAAAAAGAAGAACTGCCATTAACTTCAAATGAGCTTGTTTTTTAGACCTTTAAAATTGTTTATAGCTATGTGACCATATGTCCCAGTTTGCCCAGGACAGTCCCAGATTCTGGAGGACAGTCCCAGCTGGCTGGCAAAAATTAAAACAAGTATCCTGGGCACAGGGCAAGAAGGCTGCATGGCATGATCTGGGAAATAGGAAGTCTTAGCAGACAGAAAAATTGCCCTAAAATAGGTCAGTATGACCATTAAAAAGGGGAGATGATGATTAACACATGAAGTAAAGACCTATAGTTCATTAGCGGGACACTGACTCCCTTAGCTGCCTGAATAGTAATACCAGAGCTGCCCACACCTCTGCCTGCAATAGCGCTGCTGACTTGAGATGGAGGAGTGGGTAGAAGGGGATGTCCCAGATGGTCATCCTATTCATAAGTAACTGGCTGCTTACTTGTTGCTAATTAGTAGTTTTAAGGTCAAATTTTACAAGAGGTCCTGTGGGCAATATTCACAACTACACTCCATCAAAATGTTTCTTTTCTCAAATTCATAGAGCTTCAAATAGCTGGGTTACATGTGAAAAGTATCATATCAGAACAATGTTCTTGAAATTAGGGCATGCTTTTTTCCTGTTATCTTGTAGATTGTAATTGTTGAGAGGAAACTTTTTAGATACATTACTAATTACACTCTTGGAAATAGGGATATGACAGTAATGACAGCACTGAAGTAACATGGTATTTATTCTGAACCACAGGCTAGATGAACTTACTCCATGTGACCAGGAACACAGAAAACATTTTGACTCAAGTAATTCCATTCTGAGAGCTGTCTGCAAACTAATTAGGAAAAAGTTAATACAGCTTATTATTTCCCATACCCTGAGTCCTTGTAGTAACCAAACCAATTCATGAAGTGCTTACAGGCAATTTCTCTGCCCCACATCCCTTTGCTTTAACAAATCTCTCACAAAACAGACAGCAAAAATAATTCTGTATTTTTCACTTCCCTCAAATCCATCTCTAATTAGCAGTATAGAACCCATGCTACATCTCCAATTAAGAGACACTAGTTGGGAAGATGAATGTGCTAAAGAAGTCAGGATGCTGGTTGTAGTCCACAAGTCATTCTCCCCAGGGCACTTAATCTAGTTTGGGATGACATGTGGGGTATCAAAAGTATTTTGTCTCTGGGGCCACTAGGGAAAAACGAGATCAAATGTGATGTGTATGTAGTGCGGATATTACAGATTTGTCTTTAATATAATGTATAGACAGGGTGACCATCCATCCTGTTTCTCAGGATAATCCTGGATTTCAGAGACTGGTCCTGAATAGGGGGCATAGATTAAAATGAGTGTCCTGGGTGCAGGGTGCAGTCCAGAGGGGAAGGGAAGTGGCAGGCGTGGTGCCCCAGGAAGGCAACCAGATGGCACTGCATCTGCTCTATCTCTATCTGTTGCCTCTCCCTGCAATACACCACTGAATTGGGGGGCAGGCAGCAGTGTCCCAGATGTCCCCTATTTCCAGCTGAATTAGATGGCCACCCTATGTATAGCTCTGATCAAATAATCTTTAGGATTTTTAATGTAATTGATTCCCAGATTTTTCTTCTCTGAAGCATACTGTGGTTTCAGATTATTTTTTCCTCCAGAAGCATGTGCTTGCATTTTTTAAAAGCAAAATACCATGACAATATTCAGTATTCAATATTCTTTCAAGAAATACATATGTAAATATAGGATTTAAAAAATATTCTATAGAAGATTTTTTCCCATAAACACAGAAATTTTCATTCCCATTAAAAAGTTAGTAGAAGTTTGACACTGTCTCCAGTGCCTTGTAAGGTCCCCACCCCCTTATTTTGTTTGTGACATTCCCTTTTTAATGCTGCAAAATTAAAAATGCATTTTTCCTACAAATGAAGCGAACATTAACAAAGCATCCAAGCAAACAAAGAATCAACCCTCTAAAGAATTGTTTAAATAGACACTATAATAGGACCTACCACTAAAGGCAGGTGTGGCACCTCCTCGCAGCCACTATAATCCTATTTGCTCTCCCTTCTGGTTAATGAGGGTACCTCCCTGTGCTTATCTGCCATGTCTTTGATGTTACTTTAATGTTGGGAGGCTGCCCCAGTCCACCAGTGACTTTTTCACCTTTCTGCTCCATCTCTTGGGGCCCTCAGCCCTGCAGGCGCAACTCAGCTCAGCTCAGCTCACTGGGCTTGCACCTCCAAGGCTGAGCCCCCACCCTCTAACAGTCCTTTATCAACTGCAGCAGCTTCCCCAGGCCCCCTTGGTGGTCTCCTTCACCCCCTTCAGCCACTTCCATGCCTCACAGCACAAAATGCAATGAGTAAAACTCCACCACAATTAATTTTGCAGTTGGGGGAGCCTTTTAAAAAGTCCTCCCCAGGCTCCTACACAGTCTTTCTGGCTTCTATCAGCTCCAGGCCTCCTGGGCCTACTTACAATTTCTTTCATCTGTCAGCTCTATGTAAGGAGCAACTTCTGCTTGCACAGCCTGAGCTAGGCTCCAGTTCCAGCACTTCTTCCCCCAGCTACCAGCGGGATACCCCCCCCGGGTCAAACTGACCCTCTGCTTCTGGTTCAGAGCTTATATAGCCCTGATTCCTCCTTCTGAACTGAGGTCACTCAGATGGGTCATTATCTAATTAGCTGCCAAGTGTTTCTTAATTTGGACTTTGTGGCTTTCTATTTTTATTGCCTGGCCCTACTGTCCATAACAGAGCTTGGCCTCTAGTGCATGCCGTAGTTCCTGAGAGAAACTAACATGAAAGAAATTGCCAATTCAGTAAGATGTAAATCATTTTAAACATACATCTTTTTTATTCTTCTTAGGAATCTCCTTCGATATCTCTCCAGGTCTTCATCTCTCTCTCGTGCCCCACTCACCTCTTCACAAGCATTAAACGTGATGGCAAGAATAAACAATAATGCATCACAGAAGAAATATGGTAACTTTTTGTTTTTTGAAAGTCTGTCGCGCACACGCTCAGGTGAACAAGTTAAGCTCTGTATAAGCAGGTGCAACGCTTAACAGTTATCAGCAGCCCCACCTATCATTAATTCAGCAAAGAGAGACTGTACGTAAGCATCTTAAACCATCATCTTTATTCCTCACATTAAGGTTAATGGACATTTATTCAGAAGCAATTATAAAACTCTGTTTATGTTAATTTGCATAGATCCATTAAAGTAACTGTTTCAGAATTATCCAAGTTTTGTGTAAAGTTGTGATTAAATAAACCCTACATGGTGTTTTTGGTAATAGTTTCTACTTGAACTAATTCAGAGCCTTAATCAGGAATGACAGGAACTCCTTCCATGTATGACTGCTTACCAGGGGAGCTGAAAAAGTGAGAATTTGTGGGTTTGTGGTGATCTATGATAGGAATTATTTTACCACTACCTAATTCTGCTCCCAAGTCATTATTTTTCAAGTTAAATTTTTAAAATGTGCCATTAAGGTCAGATCCTCCACAACTGAAGACAATAGGAATTATAGAATAAAAATAAAAACAGGGCCCAAAGGAGCCTCAGAAAGTCAATTGTGTCCAGCCTGCTGTTCAAGGCAGGATCATCCCAGATTAAATAATTTCAGACAAATGTTTATCTAACTGGCTTTTAAAAACCTTCAATGATAGCAGCTCCACAACTTGTCCAAGCAACATGTTCCAGTGCTTAGCCACTCTCATAGGTTGACTTTTTGGAAGAACTTTATAACTAAATTGTCCCTCTTGAAATTTAGATCTTCTTGTCCTTGCCCACGTGTTAATAGTAGAGTCAATCACCAATCTCTGTATAAGTACCATTCTGGTATTTGAAGACTGTTAACACATTCCCCTCAGTCTTCTTTTTTCAAGAGTAAACAATTCCACTTCTTTCAACTTTTCCTCATAAATTATGTTTCCAATACCTTTTGCTGCATGCCTAGTTTGTCCATGTCTTTCTTAAAGTGCAATGCCATAACATATTCTGGTCAGGCCTTATCAGTGCTGACTAGAGTGGAAGAAGAATCACTTTCCTTGACTTGCAGATGGCATTCCTGGGCATTTTTACATGTGCTCCAGGGGTGTGGGGGGCTGCTTGAATTAGAGCGGCTCCAAGAGCTGCTCTAATTAAAGAGCCTGAGGCATCTCATGTAGCCACATCCTCATGCTTCAAAATGGTGGCAGGGGCACTTTATCTAAAACTTGTTGAATGAGCTTTAGTATAAAAGTACCCCCACTCTCATTTTGAGGTGCAGGGACAC